ACCCTTTCTTACTAGTCTTCCCACCCATCCTCACAATGCCCACCAAATGCTGAACACCAGCCACAACACCATCAACCACCTGCACACCTTCCTCCACGACAGCTTCCTCAACAGCACTCTTCATATCCGTCATCCCCGCGCACCCCAACGTCAAAACCTCTGCACCTTGCCCCACCAACTTCCTCGCAACTTTCCTCATAACATCCACAACTTGCCTCCTCGGCAATCTCTCCAGATCCAGCACTCCAAGATCACAGCTCTCAATCCCAGCACAAATTCCCTCCATGCCATACACCTTCACAGAATCCTGATGCATGACTTTCGATCTTTGAGACGTCGCCACGATCCCAAACCTCGCGCCTAAAGTTCGTGCGGCGAGGAGTGAAGCTTCCATGATTCCTATGACTGGGATTTCGAATTCTTCGCGCAGCATTGGGATGAGAGGATGGTTGGAATAGCATGCTACTAGGATTGCGTCGTAGGATTCTTGTTTTTGGATTGGGAGTAATGCTCGGGCACAGGCTGCTGCGGAAAGGACGGAGTCGAAGAGTCCTTCTATCGCTGTTGGGGCGATGTTGGAGGGTCCTGTGAAGCCGATGACGGAGACGTCTGGGGCTAGGGTTGAGAAGAGGGATTTTAGGCAGGAGTCGGTCATGGATTGGGTGGCGTTGGGGTTGCAGAGGAGGATGCGGATTTTCTTGTCTTGAGATGGTCGGGTTGGGAGGTTCGAGGTACCGTTCGTCGTGGTGGTGTTAGTGCCATGTGTCTCCGCTAGTCGAGGTGGTTCCATCACGCCTGTCTGCTCGACGATTCGTGTATAGTGCTCGATTCGACGATGTCTTCCGAAGTCAAAGGTCCTCGTCTTACCTTGTCTGCAGGCATCCAAATCACAGTCTGCCACAATCACTTCGTCTTCCTTAGTCTTCGTTTCTGCTAGGATCTTTCCTTCTGGGTCAATGATCAAACTCGATCCAATGAGATTGTACTTTCCATCATCCATTCCGCATCTTGCTGCGCAAACACTGAATGTGGCATTCATGTAGCTGTTACCCTGCATGGTCAGCTTATGTTGAAAGATGGCGTCTTCCTCTGCTTTGGCAGGGTCCTGGTTCAGATCTGCTCCCCACAGGTGAGGAGCAAATCCAGGAGTATTGTAGCCGCACAGCACCATTTCTACACCTTGCAGTCCATAGCATCTCCAAGCCTCGCCCCATCTTCTATCATTGCATATCATCATGCCAAGTATGGGCTCTGTGTTTTCGGCGAGATCAGGCACTCGGAAGGCTTTGAAGCCTAGGTCACCAGGCTTGAAGTAGCGCTTCTCGAGCTGGTTCGTGGCATTCGGATGCTCGAACGGCTCGACATCGCCCGGAAGGTGGACTTTTCTGTATTTGGACAGGATGTCGCCTGTCTTGGCATGGAAGTATATGCATGTATTGAAGGTGTCGCCATTGTCGCAGGCCTCTGCAAATCCAACTGAGACATCTACACTCAGGTCTTTGGCTCGGTCGAACAGCGGCGCGGTGTGCGGTGCAGTCCTGATGTCAGCATGCTCGAAAAAAGAATCGAGTTCTGTTTGGTCGTCGATCAGGTGGCGCGGGAAGAAGGTTGTGAAGGCTGTCGGGAATGAGAAGCTACCCAGCTGGGGTGGGGTGGCGATTTGCGATGGCTGATTTTACCTGTTTCGGGGAAGAGCACGAGTTGTGCACCTTGTGAAGCGGCAGTTTCGAGCAGGTCCAGCATGCGCTGCAGCGTGTGTGCCCGCAGCGAGGTCCTGTGCACGGCTCCGATCTGAGCGGCGGCCACTCGAATTCGTCTCGTCATGGCCGCGGCGTTGCGGTGGTGAGGTGACTCGTGAGGGGTGATCTTTCAGCCTGATCTCTCCAGTGGTGCAATCGGCGGGTGCAAAGCGGGTGGTGAAAGGAGGGGAGGAGCAGCAGAAGTTATTGACATTGACGATCTGGCGGTCGTCCCCCTTTGCATTGGCTCCTCGGCCAGCTCTGGCTGAGGTCCGCCTACTGCGGCGTGTTGCGTCGGCCGTGATGATCAAGCTGCTGTTTCGAGGCATGGGAGGAGTCCAGCGCTGTTGGTCGCCGCGACGGAGGTAGCCGGGCCGGCGGCGCACTGCTAAGCTGATGAAGAAAGTTCCTTATCGTGCATTATCATCTGTACCGGCCAACCTGGACGTCGCAGGCCGGGATACGACGCAGGGCTGGGTTGGAGTCATCAGGCACAATTGCGGCTTGGCAGTATTGGAGTTGGTGAGTGCGCACTTGCTGGAGAAGATGATGGTATGGAGTCGCTGGGGTGGTAAGGCGATACTGGAGTCTGGCGATTGCAGGTCCACGACGGATTGAGTAATGGCAACGTAGGCTTCGTGCATGATTCGCTCGCTATGCAGATCGGAAGTCGGCCGATATGCAAGAGCCACGAGGGCTCCACGATAAGATAAGACGGCTAGCGGCATGCCGGATGAGGTAAAGCTACGAGAATAGGCAGGAGCTAGGTCGCATGGCATGGCATGCTGGAGAAGAGTGCAGGTGCAGTGCTCAGTTGTGGAAGGGGCTGCCAACTGCCAACTACTGCCAATTGCCAACTGCCATCTGCCATCTGCCATCTGCCATCTGCTCCCGCCCACGCGCACGCCCACGCGCACGCTCACGCCCACGCCTAGCCTCACGCTGCACTAGGATTCCATAGCGCGTCTAACTGCCGCATTGGAGCCGGGGATTGGTTGCAGGCGCCAACGTGCGTGAGCGAGTGTGCGAGACGCCGATCATGAGTATTCTACGGTACAGTATCGCTGCCGCTATCGGAAACAAACAGGCGGGGCGGTGGTGGAGTGGAGCCAAGCCATCGTGCTGCAACTGCAACTTCACCCTGCGCCTGCCCAGCACGTACCTTGGCCTACAACTCTACTACCTGCTGCTGCTGCTGCCGCTGCACTAGTCGCGCAACAGCCCCGTTGCGGGTACGTTGGGGGCAGCAGCATCCTGGCAAGAGCTATTCATCCTGTCCTCGTTATTATTCATACCACTCATATCCGTCATAATAGCCATGGAGAGCCCCCAATCTTCAACCTTCCTCCACCACTCCTACCCTCCGCCGCCATCTCCCTCTACCTCCATGCCCCCGCCACCAATGCCTTCATTCACCTCTCACACCAACGGCCACACCAGCCCCACTGCTGACACCCACACCCACCCGCAGACCCAACCCGACGTCACTGACAGGGCGCGAGCCTACAAGTCGCGCAATAAGAGACCCTGTGATTTCTGTCGTTACAAGAAAGCCGCGTGCCACTTGGAAAGCACGCCGCCATGCGAGCTCTGCATAAGATACAACAAGGAATGTACTTTTGTCGAGTCTCCAGCCAAGAGACGCAGGCCGAATGAGCAAGCAGGCAAGAACGGCGATACCATCTTCAAGCATTCTTCCAATGCCAGCATTGATCGTGGCCCACATTTCGCCAATGGAGCTCTGCCGAGCTTGGACATACAGCATGACTTTCTGCCGTGGGAGAATGGCATCAATCCGTTCCAAATGGCTGGAATCCCCACCATGAGCAGCAGTAGTAGCATGGGCCCAACTTTTGCTTTCGATCCCGCACTGTATGAGACAGAACCCATCAATTTCGACCCCTTTGAACCCATGTCTGCTTCAACGACCACCAACAACTCGAGCGATCACAAGTTCCCCAACCACAATCACCGTCACAGCGCATCCATGGACACGGATTCACCGCTGTCTCAGTCGGCAGCCCTGCCTGTGAATCTGCACCTTCCTTTCGACTCGACAACTGGTGAGCCTTCTCTAGATCGCCAAAACTCTAGCAATGCCCAGATCATTGGCATAAGTGGCGAGAGCGACCCATATCTACTTTCGAGATATCGATATGATGAATACAACGAAGCCTCATTCCAGTCCGTGCGAATGCGCAAAATGAACGGTGGGCCGGTAGACAACGACAGCAGTGTTCCCACCTTCTTCCAAATTCAACACAATGCGCTTGCTGCAAAAGCTCAGCCACAGGACAAGTCGGACACGAACGAGAAGTGGCGCAGAGAGCTCACAGAGCTCGTGGATGACGAGACAGGCAGAAGACTGATTCAGCTGTTCTACAAGTATGTTCAACCATACTTCCCAGTACTCAGCCGCGAAGGGAGTGAAAGAGATGCTATGGGAGTGCGCGAGCCACGTGAGGTTTCCCCCTGCGTCCTGGCAGCCATATACGGACACGCTTTACCGTTCTGCGCATGGGACGAAAAGCTATGCGTTGAGGTTTATACGCCACCTTCGGCAGATGTCTTGTTCAAAATTGCGTGGCTCTCCTGTCAACCATGGCTGCACACCCCAAATATCGCGGTGCTGCAGACGCTTCTTCTGCTTGTTCAGCGACGCCCGACGAACCGACATGTTAGTGATACCCCTTTCAAATGGGTCATCATGACCACGGCGGTCTCGATTGCACAGGCTCTAGGCATCAATCGCGATCCTACCGACTGGCCGCTTCCTTCATGGGAGATTAAGCTGAGAAAGCGATTGGCGTGGGCTGTGTACATCCAAGACAAATGGCTAGCATTGAACTTCGGACGAAGCAGTCACATTAATCCTGACGATTGGGACGTGCCCGCTCTCACCGAAGACGACTTTCCAGAAGCAGACCGCAAATTTGACGACGGTCAAAGAACGGACTTCGGCTGCACGCACTTCATCAAACTCTGCGAACTGACCATCATCGTCGACGACATTCTGCGCGATCTGTTTACCATCAAAGCCACGCGCCAGCTCCATACCAGCCTTGAATCAACTCTCGAAGTTGCAAAACCCCTCCGAATCCGCCTAACAGAATGGCACCAAGCCCTTCCCGTCGGCCTTCTACCATGCCAACCAGGCGCCAGCGCAGCATCGGTCGGCTCACCAGACAGCACGAGAAGACGATCCGTGCAACTCGAACTTGACGGCAACGGCTCTCTGCAACTAGCATACATCACGGCGAAAATCGAGCTCTTCCGAGCCATGCTCCGACCCCGAGTCACAGACGCCAACGCAGCAGCTGTAACAGCCCTCCGAACAGGTGCCTTGGCAGTCGCAAAAGAAATCTCAGAATTCCTCGACACCCTCAACGCTCGAGAACTCGAAGCTTTTTGGGCAAGCTGTAAGTTTCTCATTTTCGGAGAGCAATGAATGAATGCATTTACACTAACAATTCCCTCCTAATAGATGCCCGCACCAATTTCACCATTGCCTCTAGCTTCATGTTATTATTATTCATCACTTCGCCCACACTTGTCGATGCCAAGGAATGTTTGCAGTTGCTCAATTCTTGGAGAAGTTTTTTGCGGATTAAGAGTCGGAGTTGTGATTTGTTGAATTTGGCGCTGCTCAGATTGGATGGGGTTTTTGTCGCGGGCATGGATCGGTTGATTGAATTGAGTCCTGCGGCGCTGCAGGCTTGGGTGGAGAGTGGGCAGTCGAAGTAGGGGAGAAGTTTGAGGTGATGGGAGGGAGGAGGGTTGGGATGTGTTTTTTTTTAATCTTTATACCCATGTGCGCGCGAGTGATTGATTTATTGATTTATAGAGAGATTGTGTATAGAGGCTGTAGATATTTGCAGTGAGAACTTTTCAGAATTTTGTACGAAAGCTTTCGCCAGTTCATTATTGCCTGACGGTGCTTGGTATCAATGATCGGGAGAGGCGAGGAGCGATATTAGTTCGGCTGGTACGGCTATAAACTATGTACGTAATCGGGAGAGGAGAGGAGAGGAGAGGAGAGGAGTGATATTAGCTTCTGTGTTCTAGATGGAAAAAAAACTCTCTCCATATGCTATAGTTTAATTTGTTGTTGTTTTCGATATCAAGGCAAGACATCTAAATCAGCACGGTCCGTTTCAGTAGTCCTCAGAAAACGACAGTCGTGTCTCGACACTAGAAAAAAAAACTACTGGGTAAGTACTTCTCACTCCCTAAGCACCGTGATCTTATCTTCATGCGTTCCATCCACACCTCCACAAGGACAACTTTCCGACTTGGACTTCTCGCTCACAGCTTCTCCAACGATGACATCGTCTTTCGAAACTTCTCCATCCATGACTCCGGCCTCGGAGAATTTTCCTTGCGTGGGAATGTCTTGGCGGTAAGCTGTGGGGAGAATGAGTTGGTCTTCGTCGTGGTGATTTGTGCCTTCTCCGAGTCCTGGTGGTGGGAAGAAGTGGTTTAGGAAGTAGTAGATGAGTGAGGAGAGGATGTAGCCTGTGACTGTGATTAGTGTTGGGCCATCCCGCGTGTGAAAATTTTGGCTTACCAGTGATGAACCCGAGACGGGCGAGTTTCATCCAAGCGTTGGGAGATTTGTCGAGGTCCATTACGCCCACTGTGATGGGGATTAGTGCTGTGTCGACGAGGACCTGTTTTGAGACTTACTAATATATCCAGGCATGGCAGGCCAAACGGCCAAGAAGAATGCGGCGAATGCTCGTGGATTGATTCCTCGCCAGTACCAGTAGATCGAGTCGCTGTTACCACGATACAGATCGTCCACTGAATGAAATGTCAGCTCATAGTATGCTGCAATCGAGTCTGTGTGCTCTTACTCTTCAACAGCCTCTTTCGCACAATCCAAAAATCGGTGACGAGAATTCCCGCGCATGGTCCATAGAAGATTCCAAACCTGTGTACATCTGGTGAGCTCATGGAAACATGGTGACTTATTTCCAGATCCAACATACCCATTGAGAACAGCAATGAAAGTCTTTGCGTTGACTGTGAGATTCCACGGGTTGGTGGCGATGCCCAAGGCCGCAATGATGTATGCACTTTTCGGAAATTAGTAAACTTCCATCGTTTCAGAACAAGGTAGAACGCACCCTCTTCGAATATTGAGCCATCTCGGAGCCCAAGCTTGCATGTCCATTCCGGTAGCTGTGCTGTTGAGGATCACATTGACACAGATTTGTGCCCAGGCGCACACTGCAGATGCGAAGAAGCTATGAGGCTTAGCATTACTGATGCTATTGAGATCCAGTGAAGCACTTACACGCCTGCTCGCGCCGATGCGGAATTGTTGTGGTATGCTTGGACTTTTCGCAAGAGGAGATATGGTTGCCAATACGCGCCTCCTAAAGTCTGGCTTGCAGCAGAGGTTGCGACGATGCCGATAGCGACTAACATGAGATCAGCATCAAATTGCCTCTAAATAGAACGTCGTGAACAAAACACCTACAGATGGTGTAGATCATGATGGTCAGAGCAATGGCTTGCACTGTCATTGATCTTTTGTTGTCGATCTTGGCCAATCTGCACCAGTTTGCTTGAGCCAAGCATACAGTTCCCATATTGCCAAGTACTGCTGTGGCACCGTAGATGACTGCCCATGCTGTGTAGAAGTTCAGAACCATTACCATCACGAGCGCCGCTTGAGCACTTACGAACAGAGTGGGCCAAGACCGGCGAGGCAGTCTTGTAATCATGAGCAAAGTACGGTCCAGCAGTGCCTCCTGCATGATGGACTGCCCAGATGAGGATGCCAAATACGGTCATAGTAAAGCCCGCGAAGGAAATGAGAAACGGCTTGTCCAGCTTCTCTGGTGGTAGCCAGATAACGAACATATCTGGTCAACATGTCAGCATACTCTTCACTAGGACGAGGTTTAAAGCTCACTTACAAATGACGTTGTAGATGATGAATCCAATGAAGTCCTTCAGCTCCATAGTCCCACCAGCTAGCGGATGAGACCAGTTTGCCCACTTCACCGACCAGGTACCAATGCACGTCGAGATGGCTTGCGCTCCCCACCAAGATTCGATGCCATTCCAGACAATTCCTGGTATCGTTCGGATGAGCACTGGAAAGTAGGTTCCCTTCATGCCCCAGGGTGATCTTGCAGCCACATTGTAGACGATATGGTGGCTGCCACCAACCCACTGTGTATTACTTCAGTAAGGCGTCCGGTAAGTTGCATACTATCGTCGGAACCTACGCCACAGACGACACATAGTGCTGCCAATGCAAGCGGAGAGAAGATCCCAGCTGCGAGTGCCTGCTTTCCGCTCAGACCAAAAGCGATCAATGCCGACCCGGTGGAATAGTTGTAGATGGCGAAACCTTTGACCCATTAGTAAGCCCTTTCTCACTCCGCTGCCTTTCACCTACTTCCGGTCGACCAGAACGATACGAAATCCCAGGCGCCCCAAGTTCGTCTCTCTCTGGTCACTGGAACGAGATCTGTACTCATTAGTAAATGCTCGTTGGGAAACTCGTACGACGTTCTACCTGGCGATGTGTAACGGTCGATCTTATAGGCGCCGGTCTCGGGTTGCGCAACTTCGAACCTCTTCAACCGCTGCCGCAGCGTCGCCATTCCACTGGGTCTTGGCTCCATTGTTGTTCAGTACAACGTGATCGGAGAGTCTCTCCCTCTATAACGTGTGACCGGCGGTGCTCGGACAGATATACATTGTTCAGATAGCAGAGGCGCGGCAGGCTGGATACAAGATGTGGGTAATGCCGGACGGGCTGCACACTCGTGAGGGCAGCGATAAGCTGAGCTGAGCAAACGGCACTTGAAGAGGTGAAGGTCGACTGAGGGAACAGCAAGGAGTATATTTTAATTCCGGACAGCCACATGGTCCGCGCATGTCGCTCGCATGCTCGCGTGGTGGAGAAGGTTCATACCTAACCACATGCTGCTATTTTCTACCCGCTCGCGCGACGACCTTGCAAGAGTGGGAGCCCACTGTTGGCTGTAGTCGATATACACTTCCGCGAAGCAGATATCCTTGCCCGCCGCAGGCAAATATCCCCGGGCCGAAGGCGGTTCCGTATGTGTGTAGATACCAACGCGTGTGGCCAAGGGCTGCGTCGTATCGGCCATACAGGACTTTCCTAGGACCGCACCATGGTAGATACATAGAATCGATATGGAACTTTGTTCGGCTTCTGGATTGCCTATTGCAGCAAAAAGCTACCCATGTTGATCGCTCCGCATTCAAGCGCCTGGTGTCGTTTCAGCGTGTACACTGTGGAGCAGAATATTGCCGCGGTAGCTCTAGGCTGCATCATCCGTAAGGAGCGCGTAATGTATTGCTCGAGTATCGCAGTTGATGCGCTCTCTCGGTGGACTCTCGGTGTAATGGGCTTGGTTGTGGGTCGGGCAGGAACTGAAGAGACTGAACGAGACTCATTCATGACATCTCCAACCGTGCTTGAGAAATCCAACATCATGATGTCCCTTCTGCTTTCCTGCTGACTCGGATCCAGCTCGCAATTGCGTCGTGAGGGCTGCCAATGAGCTTTTAGTTGGTTCAATAATCAGGCGAGGAGACTGTTCAGACCGAGCCCGATGGATGCTGTCCAGTTTCCAGATGAAATCAGCACGAGAGTCACACGCGGCCTGCCACTAGCTGATCATGTCCGTTCGCCAATGATATACGCATAGCAGGGCTGTACATGGCCATATTGAAGACCGCTGAAGTCGTGGTGAGATCACTGCAACGTCGGTAGCGGCGTGGACCATGGGGCGAGTATTTAAGGCTTCGACGCTCACACGGTCGACATTGTGTGAGTCTGAGAGCAGGTCTCGCGATTGCGAGGCTGCCTTCTCGAGGGAAGTTGCTGCCTTGATGATGTCCACTTCGGAGGAGAGAGCTCCGGGGGTGATCCTTCCGATCCTCCTTCATTTTCAACGCGACGCACGCGGTTGCCCTCAGTGATACCACCTCCGCCGCTCTCAGAGCTCGTTCCCACCATGACAACCGTCACGTCAGAACTAGAAAGGCTAGCCAGCCACGACTCGAATGCGCCAACGCTCGCGACTATTCTCACAAAGGCGGATCGGGTCGCGACTTCGCATCGCATGTCTCGCCGGACTTCGTGGCCACCGTCGATAACTACGCCGACTTCGAGCTTACTTGGGATCAGCTGAGCGGAATGTGGAAGCTCATGCATGACTTAGGCCCAACCGATTCCTGTTTCTTCAATGTAAAGAGCATATCCTCGGATGTAGACGATGAACTCGGCCGAGCTGCTGTATACGTTGAGATAGCTGCTTCACACGCAAGAGGTGCTGATGGAAAGCACGTAACGATGCATGCTATTTGAGAGCTGAAGTGGGGAAGAGATTAGTACGAGTGGTGGTGGTATCATCCATTTCAGGCCATGATGGGAATGCTTGGTGACAGCGGGACAGATTGAAGACGCCATAGTCGGCCTCACGAATACCATATTGGAATTCTTGCAGTATTGAACTGCGGCTTTCGCCAGGTCGTTGCTCATTACTCATCGCAGATCCCCAGCACCATTTAGACAAACTCCCGACATTACCCAAGAATCGGACTGCTCAATCTGGGTTTCTTCTGCCTCCGTAGACCAGATGCCTTGCATGTCGTAACCACTGAGAGTCAAACAAATTCCAAGTCGTTTCCAATACATTCAGAGCATTACAATGAAATCGCCCTCCTAGGTCGCCAGATTCTTCACAAAACGCCAACGCCAACGCCAACGCAAACTCATTCTTCCTCTTCGATGATCTCCCGGAAGGCAACCTCTTCGCAGCATGGGCAGGTGAAAGAAGCCTCATCGTAATTCGTGGCTTCAAGATGCTCCATGCCCACACAACGTACGTGGTAAGAGCCATCGCAGACATCGCAGGTGATCATGGGGCCGTGTGCTGGGTGATGGGAGCGGCCGCAGAGACAGTAAGCGTCACGCCAGACCACTGTGTCGTTGGATGTTGCGGAGCCGTCGTCGGTCATGCTCGACCAGAGGCTTGTGGCAGCACTTGCACCCGAGCTTGTGCTTGCGGAAAGACGATTGATGCTAGTGTGGTGGCTTTCGCTGGCAGTATAGTGACTTCTGAGATCTTCCAAGGCATCTTTCCGATGAAGTGAGCTGGGGCTTGCTGGTCCGTTGCTGCCGATTGAGCTTAAGGTACCGCAAGAAGAGCAAGTGTCAAAAGAGCTAACCGAAGATAGTGATAGACGGCGCGTGATGCGATCGACATTTTCCATGTCCAGCATAATGGCCTTGGTCTTGGTAATCGCATTCTCAAGCCAGTCTTCCTTGCTCACTTCAATTGACACCGTCGGGGAAGAGCTCGATACATGGTCTTCCGAGGGCGAAAAGGCACGCACGCGGCGAAGTCGAGGTAGCGCATGAGGACTGGTATTGGCGGACTTCTTGGCCAGCTCCGCAAGCAGTTGGTGCTGCTTTGCCTGTCGGGAGGTTGAGCGCAAGCGTCGCTTTGGAACAGCGTATGCGTTTGGATCCTGCGAGTCTGCGAATTGCCCGTTGCGGCGGATGGCAGTGGCGAAAGACTGGCCAAAGCCTGGAGTATCAAGGCGTGGTGCAGTGTCCATGGTGTCTAGCGTCAACGTAGCAATGGGCATGTCTCTGCCGGGTCCAGATATCAATCGCTGGGTGTCAGCAGCACGCGGCGCTGCTCGAGGGTTCGCGCTGCTGCGAAAGACAGCTTCGAAGCGAGCTTTTTGGAAGAAGAGAAAAGTGGAGCATTGCGGTCCGAAGTGAGGGAACTCGGACCAGCTACTGTGTGCGAGAAGTGCATATGAGTGTCAAAGCTCACTCGAGCTGGAATGGCGCACATGCAAAGTGGTTGATGGCATCTGATCTTCGCTACTCATCCTGCTTGGCTCTGCTCTCACTCTTATGGTGCACTGCACCGCCACAGCACACGTATGCTAGACGTTGTGGGTGAAGTGAAGCTCACTTTCAACGGCTGCTGCTCGTGCCTTCCACTTTCAAAACCTCACCGGCGCTTTGGCCACACGAAAACAACAACAAACATCACACGGAGCGTCGCTCGCTTTCTCCTAACTTCACCACCAAGCACACACTTCTTTACCTCAGCCATCGTCTTCTGTCTCTTTCTGGCATACCAGCATAGCAACACCACCGCTATCACCATGTTCCGCGCTGAGCGCCCGCCACCAGAGCCCGAGTATGAGGCCGACTTGGAGAAGCTGGGGTTCCGTCTTAATGAGAAGTACCAATTCGTGAATGCCAGTGGACCTCTATTCGCTGCAACGTCAATCACTAACATTCTCACAGGTCGAAACTGGTGCTGTCTTCGACTACTACCATACCGACAACGATCGGGCCAATGAGCTTCGCAAGGAGGCGTTCCACACTGCCGCCCGTGCCAAAATCGCCGAGGTCTTGAGCGAGCGACATGGCATCCAGGAGCTATATCTCACTGGTGGCACATACCACCATGAGCGCCCACAGGAGCCTCACGTGAGCATTCTTTGCACAAAGGTAAGCGAGTTAAAGAAGAAACACGACATTGTCGTGGTCATCGGCGAGGCGAAGGAGGATCCGGGTATTTGGGGTTGGCGCGTTGCTGGAAAGGAGGGCGGAATTGAGTCGGGCAGTGTGGTTGGACTTGCAGCACGGCTGCAGTCGTTTGGTCAGTGCATGAGGGACGATGATTTTGAGGACGAACGCGAGGAGCCGGAGGTACGCGCGAACCAAGTTGGCGAAGACTGTGAGAGGGTAAGTCGCTCTCCTTGTACGACATGTGATGCTGCTAATGACCATGTGCAGGACCCCACGCCAGGCCTTATCGTCTTGAATCCAGGTCAGCTCGTCTATTCTCACGACATGAACAAGAACATGACGCTCACATCTTGGTCGAATCGCCGTCGTGCACACGCTCTCAGCGACCCATACGCCATCGACAAAGTACACAACCGCGTCAAGAGTAACTCTTGCCTCCCTTGCTTGCTTGGGTCCTGTTGACTGACTTGCCCAACAGGCCATCAAGATCCAGAGACACATCTTCACACTTGCTTCGAACACGTCCTACAGCAGATTATGCCTGACGGCGCCCGCCTCTACTGCATCATGATCGGAGACGGATCAACCCACGGTCTCCACGTCCTCGACCAAATCCTTTTGAATAAGAATCCTACAGAGATCCGAGGTGGGAAGCTCGAGGCCGTGGTCCTCATTGAACCACAGCATGACGCCGGCGAGGTCACCGACAGGCCAGACAGCCCTCTAGGCCTCTTCTGCGGCCATTTCAAGGAGTTCTTGGCACGACAAGGTTGCTCTTGGGTCACCTCTGACACTGTCCCGAAGGGTGAGCGCGTCGCAATTCCAGTCGTCGGAGAGCAGCAGGTGGAGGAGCTTGCGGAGAACTTGGAGAAGACTGCTATTGAAGACAGCCACGACAGTGCCCAGGAGGACTCCGAGAGCGACGGCGGCGTTCCTGTCTCTGACTCCACGCCATCTGCATGGACCCTGCCACCGACGCCAACTCCCGTGGCTCCGACCAGCAACGACAATCACGAGTGGCTCACGGAAGAGCAGCCTGGCGAGCGCCCAACAGAGAAGCTGCTGGTGTCTTGTCCCACCTTCTCGGCCGGCCCCAACAGCACTGCTGCCCTGGAGGTCGTCTTCCCAGCAGTCCAAGATGAAGTCTATGACTTCATCTTCTACCAGATTCTCGGCGCTCGCGCCAAGCCACAGCCGCGACTCTGAGTAGGAGCCGGGAGTGGAGGAGTGCGATGGATTTTGCGTCGTTGGAGAGAGATGTGCTGAGATGGAGATGAATGAGCCAAGAGAGCTCACTTGGGGGCTTTTGGCTCCCCTGCTTGTACTGTGAGCTCGCTCTGAGATAGGATACCGTGCCCTTTTGGGCTAGTGATGAAATGGAAGCGATGCCGAAGTGACCCTCTCCTTTTACACATTTTGGCCCTCTGTGGGCATTCAGCACGTTTTCGCTCTCTCTCTCTCTGAGTGATATAACTATGCCTTTCGCTTCCCTCTGCGGGCCTGTCGGACCCGGCTCGTTGTAGGAAGCAGCGTTGAAGTGATCCCCTCCCGCTACACACCTTGCTCTTCGGTGAGCAGTCGACGTGTCCTCGCTCTCTCTGAGTAACGCGACTATGCCTTCCGCCTCGCTCTGCAGGCCTATCGGACCCGGCGCGCTGCAGGAAGCAGCGTTGAAGTGATCCTCTCCTCATACACATTTTGGCTCTCTGTAAGCACTTGGCGTGTTCTCGCTTTCTCCGAGTGTTATAACTATGCCTTCTGCCTCCCTCTTCAGGCCTATAAAACCCGGCTCGTTGTAGGAAGCAGCAGTAAAGTGATCGTCTCTCGCATCACAATCTTGTCCATTTAGTCAAAGAAAGTGGTCTGCCTCTATTTCAAGAGCGGTACTGTGCCTTCCATATCTCTTGGCAGGCGTTTTGGACTCGGCTCGTTATAGGAGGCAGCTTTGAAGTGATCGTTTGTCGCATCACAATCTCGTCCATTTAATTGAACAGATGTGGTCTGCCTCTATCTCAAGAATGGCACTGTGCCTTGCATCTCCCTTTGCAGGCCTTTTTGAGACGGCTCGTTCTCGGAAGCAGTAGTAAAGTAATTATCTGTACTCTCACAATCTTGTCTATTTGGTCGTATAGCGTGATCTCCCTCTACTACAAGAGTAGCACTATGCTTTTAGTCTCCCTTTGCTAGGTTGTTGAGCACGTCTAATTATAGGAAGCATGTTAAGGAACAAGGAAGGAACAGCCAGGGGTGGCTGACTAATGGAGCGACGGGTCTACCTCTGTAATTAACCTTCCTCCTTTTACATACCTATCCACAATTACGACTTCATAACAATTGGTGGCAACGGCAAAGGCCACTCAGCTGACGGACGATCTGGGCGCCGAATTCGAAGGCAGCTAAGCGGCCAAGCAACAGGTTGTGCTCTATCGCGATATAGGAGTGCAGACCGACTTGACCGATCCGGTCTTGGAGCAATATGCTAATCAACAGACGGTAGCCGAGAAGAACAGGCGACGAGCGGAGATCCAAGCCCAGTTGGATCGTGAAGAGGCAGCGATGGAAGCAGAGGCCAACAGGAAGCGAACGGAATTCGCGGACAGAAAGGCCAAGGCTATGGCATGTCTTTGAGAGAAGCAGATACTAGCCTGAGCAGTAGACGGCCCACCAGATGATTGGCATCCAGGCAAAATTGAGAAGCAGATACTAGCCTGAGCAGTGGACGGCTCTACATTTTCACCGCATGTGAGAGGTTGAAAGATCCCGCGGTGCAGGTGCACTCTAACTTTGCTGTAATGCCATGCATTCCAGGTCAATGCCGTGGTTGGACGGGCGATCGATGACCTGAGAGACATGTGTCGCTGGTGGACCGGTATGGGTTCACAGGGCGCTCGCTCGCTCCCTTGTCGTAGCAGAGCCAGGAGACTCAGGTAGCTTCTGTAACCATTCGAAGGAGTCGTGATTGCAGAGCTGTTACGCTTGGTCATCCGCGATGAGAGTTCTCGAACGTACAGGTGGTTCAACTTTGGAAGCAGGACTATGCCTCTCGATCAATTTCTGTAGCCTCCTATATCAGCCATGAGCCGAGAAGCGTGCGCAGTAAATGATTTTTCGTTGGATCACATGCGGGATGTGCGCTCTGCTATATCATGCATGATTTTGGAGTAGCCTACTCGAGATCTCTAAGCAAGATAATATGTAGTGAATCCAGAACATGGCAGCTCACATGTTTCAATCTGGTTCAGCTCCATTTTGCGAGCGGTGCAGGCCAGGCTTTTGACACCGACCACGGTTGTCTATCTTCGGTCTCGTTTCTGTGAGTGCTCTTTCATTGCCACTGCCTCCTAATGACGGGCCTGGCAGGATCCCAAGGTCCATGAATCTCATTCTTGTACCTCTGCAGGCCAATCAACCACCAGCTCGTCATGCCCATACTCAAACAAGTCGCAATGCCGCCCAACACAACGCCCAGCACAGCATAGCCCCAGCCACCTCCACTAATGCACATGCTCAATCCACCACTTGCTACGAGTACGAGCAATATCGTCAAGTAAACGTGCCCGGTCCAGCTGTAATGTTTTAGATGTCTTCTGAAAACTGGAAAGAGACCGAATACTTCGATACTGAAGAGTGTCAAGCTGAAGACGTGCGTCGTGGATGGGAGTCGGGATGCAAGGACAGTACTGGCCATCAAGGCCGCATTCGTAGACAGAGAGGCTGGGAATTTAGCAGATGGTCCCGCACCGTAATCGAATGTGAAAATGTTGAGGATCAGCAACCAAGAGGACAAAGCCCAGATTGAGTCCGAGGAAGTGGAGAGTGTCAAAGACTTGAGGATGGGAGACAGGCCGAGCAATGAGCAATAAATCAGGATTGCGGATTTGGCTGTAGTCAGACGTTCTTGCATTCGAGGCGAAAGGTATATCGACTTGGTCGAGGACGGATCGTATGGTGGCAAGTAGGAGGGCAAATTGGATGGAATGGTAGTTGGCGAGTCGTTTTGGGAAGAAGTCGTTGGTGAAGCTGCTGTAGACGCTGTGGACGGCTCACGAGAATGAGCGCGACTTTGAGCAGTGGTCGGAGTGGGGGAAAGCGTAGTCACCGGCTCTTTGAACGGCATGCCAAAGTCTGCGCCCAGATCAGCTGTTGCGCTGCCTCCTGAAGATGTGTTGTCATCGGCTGCTGTATCGTGCATTGCTTGGCCTTCGATACTGCCATCCTCGTTTGGCGCGTGGCCATCATTGCCTTGACTCTGCCACCAATCTCTAAAGATCCATCCAGCGACCGTGCATCCGCTCGCCCAGCCAACAACACTCTCCGGCTTGATTCGATCCTGGAAAATGCCAACGAAGCAAGCCACGAATATCACAACCGAGCATACATGCTGCACTATGATGGTGCTGTCCGCGACCAAAGGCCAAAACTCATAGGGCCTCAGTCTTGGATTCCTCTGCAGATGAGACAGGAAGGTCTCCTCGTCGGTATAGTTGTCAGGATATGGTGATTTGATCCATAGGAGTTTCTTCCACTGCCCATTCCCGTTCAGTCCTTTCGGCGTCTGCTGAGCTCGCCTACGAGAGCTACTCCTCCCTCTGCGCTTTTCACGGCTGCTTCTCGTCCTTGAAGTGGCATTGCGAGCAGTCACAGTATCGCTGCGACCGATGGATCCTTGGCGCGGCGGGGAGTGATAGAATGCATCCTCGGGGCGGAGATGCTGCTCGCTGCCACGTCGCGTGGTCGACAGGATGCTGGAGGCGCGAGAGGATTGTATCGAGGCCATCTATGGCGCGTGGAGGTCTCTTCAACGTATGTCCATAGCTGTGATTCGCACTGATTCGACAAGCCTCAGAGACGTTACTTCTATTGTGAAGCGGCACCTTCGAAGTGCAGTGGCTCGCGGTCTTTAACCGACCATTTGACCAAGCCTTAATCAAAACTTTACTGCCCGTGCCACAAACCTTGGGAAATCGCGCAATCGCCGGCTTCCGAGGAGCCGCAGTCACGTGTAGAGGATTAGACCGCTCTTTTGCTAGTTAATCTACCTATTGCTCCTCCATTTGCTACGCCGTCGTCTCTATTAATAGTATAACCGCGGATTCGACGATTTAAGGTATTATTTTTATTACTATAGCAAGCGCTAAGCCTTCCGCTATAAAGCCTCGTCGTATAGACTAGTTTTTAGCGGATCGACTAATTGAATGCTTCGAGAACAATATGTCTATAAGCTATATTATAGGCGAGACAAAGCTTAGTTAATCGGCGGTCTATCGAGCGAGAGCTAACTAGTAGGTATTTAGTACGGTATATATCGAGCACTACGCTAAGCAGGGCGCGCCTCGCATTCTTAATATAGACTAAGAGTTATAGTTACTATAGTATCTTTCTAAGCGTCCGGACGCTTATTTCGTAGAGATAATACTAGCAATATTTAATAGGTTTAAGGTAGAGGTATCGCCTCGGACGTTAAGTCGTATATTAAAGAAGTATAGCTAGACAAGGAAGGCGGCTCGAAGGGTAGCGAAGGAGCGTAATCTAGTGCTACGAGCACTCTAGCTCGCGAGGAGTTAGAAATAGCCTATCGATAGGTTAGTCTTTATCGATAAGACTACTTATAACTAGAAAACTAGCTAGCGGAAGTATAGCTAGAGCCCTCGAGGTATCGACTACTATAATATTGCCTTTGCAAAGCGTAAGACCCGCTAGTCGATTTTGCTAGCTTTTACTATTAACGGTTATCTACCCTATACGGCTGTTCGACAAGGCTTAATAACTAAGGAGATATTCTATCGCTAGTTAGCTAATAGTGTCCTTCCGCTGCTTAAAGGCGGTCTATAGATAATCTTTGTTATAGATAACTGCTCGATCTACTATAAAGTAGAGATTATTAGGTTAATATTAGAAGCTAGTTACCGTATCGAATACTTGCCGCTGTATTCGCTAGACCTTAATCCGATTAAACAAACCTTTAATCTCCTAAAGCACTTTATTAAGCGCTATATCGCTAAGGTAGATTTCTTCCCCGACTTCGAGCAATATATTATCTAGTGCCTCTAGCAGTATACTAGCGATAAGGCGTATGCGTTATTTAAGCACTCCGGCTATAATATAGATACAATCGATCTAGGCTTCGGAGAAGACGAATGCCTCGAAACGGCGGATTCTAGCTAGAATTTCCTCGAATTCGATGCTATAGAGTAGCAGTAGATGCACTAGGCGGAAACTGAGCTAAATAAAGGCCTTAATAATAGCCTATAGATTTATAAAGACGAGAATAAAGGTATAAAGAGTAAAGACGAAGGATATTTAGAGGTTTGAAGTATAACCGGCTCTATATTGCCCCGCGCCTAGCGTAGTACTAGCGCGGAGAAGGAAGTGAATCTTTAGAATTATTACTATCTTACTGCCCTTCTAGTTTGATAATTAACGCATATAATAAGTCTATCTTAATAAAAGAGATTAAGCTCGCCGCCGCCTATTTGCGCGTCTAAAAAGTATTACAATCGACGTAGTAGAAGTGTTACAATGCTACGCTAAAGCAAGCCGCCTGTTCTATTATATCCTCTCGTCCTTAGCAAGGTCGGCAAGAGCCGCGCCGACGTTACTAACTATACGACCCCTCGCCTATTGCCTTACCGCTTTTACTAATCTCTTCCTTATTCCTTCCGGTAGACCTATACTCTTCTATTCTATCGTAACGGCGGTAGTAAGGCTATTAATATCGTATCCCTCTACAATTAGCACCTCTAGTATATAAGAAACTACCGAAGAATCGCTTAGATCGGCAAACTATAGCGTCGATAATGCCTATTTAAAGAACTAGGTTAAAATCGCTCGAGGACTCGTATTAGCTATAGGTCTAATATCGACCTATTCTTCCTCTATACTATAATAGCGGATAGGCGTGCTAGCGATACGACCTAAGAAGTGTCTAGTATTAAAGGCTCTTGCTATTTCCTCGCCGAAGAAGATATTAGTTAGATTAGTAGATATAGGGCGCCTTAGAGTCTCGTATTCCTTGCCTTTAACGCTAGGCTTAGCAAACGACGAAGAGGCGGACGAGGGCTAAGCCTTCCTATTCTTCTCTTTCCGATAGATATATACAATAATCTCCGAGTCTAGCTTCTTTAGGTTATCGAGAGATAGGTTACACTTCGGATCTAATAGCTTGCGGTATATTATAGCCTTAGCTTACTAGTCGATAAGAATATAGTTGTCTAGTACGTTAGGACCGTTAATATAGCAATAACCGCCTAGCTATTACGAAGTTAGACACTTATAGTTAGTATAACCTAACCTAAGGTTAATCTATAGCAACTAGTTGCTATCCTTTGCTATCTCTGCAATAAGAGGTCCGGCAACCTCTAACTGCTTCTTAGTCGCTAACTTTGCGCCTATCTTACTAGCTACTACTAGTTTAATAGCAGGCATAATAGCCGCGTGCAGTTTAACGTCTATTCGGACGTTATTCTTAGTCTCTCGTAACTAGATCATCTTCGCCTTAGCCTAGTTATAAGCGCTCTCTTTAGTAAGAAGGACGTTACCCTTCTTATCGAATATCTTCTTTTAATTAACCTTTAATAAGTCCGTCTTCTTATAGCTATTATAGCCGACAACAAGTACTGTTCTATATAGCTCTTTAAGCTTAGGGTCGCACTTAGATACAGCATTCTTAGCCTACCGGAAAGCGTACTAAATCTGCTATAGATTAAAGTATGTCTACGTAATAATAGCAGTCTTTACCTCCTTCGAGCTACTTTATAATAGTATCTACTTAGACTCGAAGCTGTCTCTTAGAGGGTCGTCTTCGTCGCTACATACTTTAAGGAGCTCGTCGTTGGCTTTACCGGCGGAGTCGATATTAGCGGGTACTAGATAGACGGTTTCGGTGCCCTCTACCGTACCGAGGGCTCGTAACGTAGCGGTAGCCTTACTAGAGGCTTTAGTACCGCTATTGCTACTAGTTTTTCTAGTAACAGGCGGTAGGGATATCTCCTTTGCTAGTGCCTTCCTTGTACCCTTATTCGTATAGTCTAAGGTACGCGGAACCGGCAAATTACCTAACTTTAGTATTATTTCTTTACTAACTATCGATTAATAGACGGAAAACCGATTTGCTGCTATTCTCGATAATTCAACGCTATTCTATGCACCTCTACGAATCTATAAGAGCACTAAGGGCGCAAAATACTATAGTATAGGAGGCAATCCGTACTTTCGAAGGTTTCTGGCGCTGCGGAAGAGGATCCGGCGGCGATTCCCAAGGTTTGTGGCACGGACAGTACTTTGTTCATTTTGACCCGATTTTGACCTGTTTGCCCGTATCTTCACATTCGTCTTCCAAACATCCATCGATCGAACGGCCTGCAAGCCTTCATAATGCTGTTCACAACTAGCATGTCCACGGGAAATGCATCGTCAACTTCAGTTGCTACTTCCGGCGCGAGCGAAAGTCAAGAATGCCCACCAAGAGGACAATCATCATGAACTCGCTACGATGTCGAAAGACGCGTCTCTGCAGCCAAAGGGCTCACCGCACGAATCGCGAGAAACGACAGGCCATGTCAGCTTCATAGGGCGATGGTGGGGTCTTCACATCGCTCCAGATGTCCCCGAAGCGCAGTGTCGAGAGCATTTCGCCCTAGAAAGGACACTCCTGGCCTACGTTCGCACAGCGAGTGCTTTCGCGCAAATTGGAGTCACGATCGCTCAGCTGTTCAAGCTGCCGAGAGAGTCCCTACACCTTTCGCCTGCTGTACAGAGGCTAGGCCATGCTCTCGGGCCCACAGCTCAATGCTTTGCCATCGTCACAATGCTAGTTGGAGCTTTCAGGTGCGCGCGCCAGCAAGGCAGGATCGCTCATCATGGAAGGTCGAAGCCTCCCGGGAACATGGCGTGGTTATTGACCGGCCTGCTGCTTGTAGTAAGACCATTCACTGAACCTGCAAACGTGCTTTTGGCTTGCTGATGGAATTGCAGTTCGTGGTCTTGAGTCTGGTTGCAGTCCGTAGTCATTAGCAGTCATTGCTTCAATGTCAGGCTGAGCAGCATTTGAAAGCGCCCAATTCACCAGCTCAAGAAGACTGCCCGGGCGTTCTGCGACTGTTGGAGCTACGAAGTCCCGCGTACCTGGAATTGGCTGTATCACGACGTCATATCGACCGCATCACGACATCTCCAAGAAGTGGCGGCATTGGCTTTCAGTGCAGAGACTTCATCCTCTTGTCAGTATCATCCAGCGACGATCAGACAAGGTCAGTGAGCATGCCTTCCTCCTCTGGTGCATTGCCGCCACATGAGGCATCCGAAGCAGTCCTCCAGACCGGTCTACACCACCTCAGAGAACCTATCGTCGTAACCTTCATCCAAAACATATATGGCGCCCTTCTTGTCTCTTCCGGGAGTCTCTTCTCGATCGTGCTCGGTTCTGGATTTGCTGGGATCCAGGGCGACAACAATCCAGGCATTCAGCGACTCATGCAAGGAATGGCATTTCCATGGGGCCTTGTGATGGTCTACTTCGTTGGCGCAGAACTCTTTACCGGCTACCCAATGTGGTACGCCATGGCAATGCTCGAGCGAAAAGGTAGACCTATGCAATATGTCCGTGGTGCGCTGGCCTCTTGGATCGGCAATCTTCTCGGTGCACTGCTGTTCAGTACTCTATTCACCAAAGCCACGGACGTTCTTGAGAACAATCCTTGGCACTCCGCCATCGTGCGGCAGGTGACCGATGACATTGTCGACATTTCCTGGCACACCGTCTTTGTGCGTTCGATCGGCTGTGGGTGGCTTGTCACTATTGCCATGTTCCTAGGAACACAGAACAAGGACGGAATTTCCAAGGCCCTATGCTTGCACTTTCCTTTCATGATCTCGGCGACAGCGAGATGGCCTCATACTGTAGAGTATATGTATCTTACCAGCGCAGGTATGATACTTGGCGCTCCGCTGAGTATCGGCGGCTTTTTCTGGAAGTGCATGCTACCGGTCACACTTGGCAATATCGTCGGAGGTGGCTTTTTCACTGGCACATATCTTTGGTGGGTGCACGTCGCACTGAATAGGAAGGGGGAGCTCGACGACGATGACGATGGCACGAACCTTCTCGACCAACACGAATAGGCCCTAATATTGAGAAAATCAGGACTCACTGATCCTTCCCTCATTTTGCCAATGGCAGGAGCAAATTCTTATTATGTCGCCGCTACATCAGCCCGCACAGCGCAACAGCTACACCACTTCATGATATCGACATCGACAGCGCCTGCATATCAACAGTCAGGTATCGACACACATTCATCATGGCATCACAACATCTTCAATAAACCGGAGAGCCGACGTCTGCAAACATCAAAACCACCACTATGCATCTTCACGCAAAGGCCTCTTATTTCCCAGTGTCTCGTCGAAAAGACCAGAAATGAAGACGCTCCCAGAAAATTTCACAGAAAAATCGAGCCGAAGGATACCGGGTAACCTACTTCTACCATATCAGCTATCGACACGCGCAGGATCATTTCCCGCCGTTTGCGGTTCGAGATGCGCCGCTGTTCGACCGAAGAGACATTTTTGAAAATTTCTGTGCAGGGAAGACTTTCTCGACAGAGACTATATATTATGGCAGAATAACTTTTTACGACACCTCATGGCTCCCTCTCATCTCCACTCAAATTCAGATTTCATGCCCTCCGACGACGCAGACCGAGTGTGCTCTCTCTACCGCCTCCCTTCCCAATCACATTTACATTCGCGCTCCTCTCTCCTTCGCAGGGGAAGCAAAGGTACGAGTGCCGCACTGTCCTTTCGTTCCTCAATCCATGATCCCATATCTCGCCCATTGCAAGCCTGCCCGTTCCAGTGCTTAGAAATTCTATCCGAACCATTCGCTGATTCAAGACGCGCAAAATTTTCCGGCAAAAGGCTGGGAACTTTCCGAAAACGATCGTTCCGACTTTGGGATATCGCGGAAGCCGTTGCTGCGGAAAGTGCGTATCGTCGTGGTTCTTGTCGGATTTCTTGGAGCTTTTTTGCCATGAATAAATGTGGCCGTGGCTCCGGTTCGTCGAGTTTATCTGTAGACGATGAGATGTCTTGGTCATCGACTTTTCTTGCTCGCTGGCTTTCCGAAATTTCTTCAATAGGCTTCTCGACTTCTCTTCGATATAGCCCTCTTCCAACGGCTTTGTATGAGACGGACGGAGCTTTTTCTGGTGGTGGCATGGCTGCTGGATGTGGACTGTGGTGATCAAAAACTTTTGTGTTGGCTGTCACGGCATCATCCTCCTTCGGCTGAGGTGACTCCAAGTCTGAGGAAAACTCTGAGAGCGAGGCGACCGGCCAGCCAAAGTACGAAATTTTGATATCGCTTTTACAGGCATGAGCAATCAAGTAAATCTGTAGTGCCAGTGGTGAACCGAAAAGCGCTGTCGCCATCGCCGACATTTTCACATTTGATGTAGATTGGTCTCGTTCGGTCTTGTTTTGCGATATTTGCTGCGGAAGGTTATCAAGAACTGGTGACGGGAGCGTAGAATATATTCTCTCTGCTTTCTTTCGCGAGTAATGGTGATGGGTCACTACAAATCTTTGACTTCGGACTCCACAACTGAGGACATACTTACAAGCTTAAATCTGAGGAACGGTTTAGAGCGTGGCATGAGGCGGGCAGGGCTGCGTCCAAGGGATCTCGCGCAACATGGAAAATTATAGCTACGCGTCCGTATGAGATGAGGGAATCACTCGCCTGGCGCCGGTCTGCCTTTAGGTTCGTTCCAAAGGCCTAGAAGTAGCACTTCTGCTAGAGCATTGACAAGAGCCTATGGTAGCGCATTGCAGAGTCCTCAGAGTGAACATATGGCAGCCATGGTTGTGTATCTCTTTCAGGACAGCCTTGAGCCAATCTCGTCGAGCCTTCAGATGAATCTGCTGTCTTGCTCCTGGTTGTTTGACGGCATGATTCAAAGGGAGTAAAGAGCTGAGGATTCCTCCGGGTAATCATACACGCGAATACACACAGCAAGAGAAACGCTCGCGCTCTCGATCTTCTGCTTTGAGGTCTCGCAGACATGCCTGCATCTCAGCCTGAGGTCGCCACCGTGCCTACCGCTGTAGTCTGTCGAAGGACCATCCGCGTAGGCCGCGTGAGGGTGTTGGAGCTTACAGCAGACGCTGCTTCAGGATCTGAATGAATTTTTTTCAGCTCATCGCAAGTGTGTTCAAGAGCACAGAGTGAGAGCGAGTAGTCGGAGCCATCGGCATTCACTTCCCTGCGGAAACCTGAGGCACCAAAAGCTTATTTCTAAATGTAGCTCACAGACACCGAAAGTCCGATCTTGGTCGACATTGTCAAGCTCACTGGTTGGAGGAGAAGGCAGTTCTTCCGACACAGGTGCCATCTGAGAATCAGGCTGCAGCAATATCGCCGCAAACGATCGGCGTTCGACATTTCAAAGGTCCGTTGAGGTGGTTGAAAGTGGTGGACCTGATTCAGCCTCAGCGGAGATATATGTTCACCCTTCAACTCATCCTCTCTTTCATCTCATAACTATCACGAAAGCACTGTCGCAGTCCTCTAACTCCACGAGTCATAGGGAAGAACAATCGAGTTCGGTATTTCGCGCAAGACGCGTCAGGAACGCAGCATCATGGCCCCCTTATTCTCACGAACCTCCAGAGCTCTCCCATACTTGACTGGGGCAGCAGTAATTGGTACTGCAGGAACAATATACTTGTCAACGCAGCGGCGTCCTCTCCTACTAGACTCAGCACAGAATGCACCCACCAAAACGCTTGCATTTCCTAAGACTATGCTCTTCAGCCAAGAGCTGACAGTGCTCAAAAGCGAGCAGATCAACCACGATACCAAGAAGATTACATTCTCTCTGCCTGGAGGTGATGGAGAGGTTTCAGGCGTGCCGACCGGAGGTAGGGTTATGCACCTGGTTGTAGCGAAACTTTGGCTGATAAGCACGCAGCGGCTGTATTGACACAGCATACGCCGACAGGGAAGTGGTTTCCAGTCCTTCGACCGTACACACCAATCTCAGACCCGGAGGAACGTGGCGCTCTCCAGCTACTCGTGAAGCAGTATCCTAATGGACGAGCTTCCTCGCATATGCATTCGTTGGCACCCGGCCAGATCTTGAGAATTCGTGGTCCAATACCAGGCTACTCCTACACTCCATCGCAAACGCCGGTCGATCTTCTGTTCGTAGCCGGGGGTGCTGGGATTACCCCAATATACAGCCTCGCGAAAGGAGTGCTCAGCGGTGCAGATGATCAAACAAGAATTCAGCTACTTTGGGGTGTGAATGGTACAAGAGATATAGTACTCCAGAAAGAGCTTGAACAGCTGGAGAAGCAATATCCGGGGAGACTGCAGGTGACTTACTGCGTTTCTGGGCCAGAGGGTAGACCTGAAGCGCCTAGCCTCGGAGACGAGCAGAAATACAAGAAAGGATACATCAATCAGAGTGTGCTTCAAGAAGCCATCGCTCGCTGCGAAAAGGGCAGCTTCGGAGATGCCAAAGGCACAAAGGTCTTCCTCTGCGGGCCGCCGACAATGGAAAACGCGATTGCTGGGAGTGGTGGTGTCCTTGGTCAACTCGGCATCTCTAAGAAGCAGATACACAAGTTTTGAGCGACCAATTCCTGGCGTTGTAAGGAATACCTGGGGCGCTGGTAGCCTTCTATATCCAGTTTCAGCAGTGCGGAACGAGGGCGGCACAGCACGCACCGGGACGATCAAGCGAGTTTAACTAGCACGCAGAAGGTCAGGCACCGCTGTTTGCTGTAGACCTTCTCTGCTCATACTGCACAGCTCAGCCTTTTCACGGAAGACTGTAGGCAGGCAGGCAAGCAAGCAACTATCGCTTCTCACAGCTCAGCAGTCACTCTTCGACTCAGCAACGTATGCTGCGTCACTCGAGTGAGAATACGTGCAGAATGACGTCTCGCCGTTGCACATGTACACTGACAGCTCCGAATGTGGACCTTGTTCCTGACCGGCCTGGGCTCGATTTCCAAATATCAGCGTAGATCTCTCGTTGGCTCTTGTCCGGAGTCATGGAGAAGCCTATCCGAGGCTTTCGCTAATCGTACTGCAAGATACATCGTGGGGCCTTCATCGTGAAGGCGGGGTAGCTCAACGCAATAAGTCTGGACTCTGCATCCGGAACGGATCGTGGCAAGCTGTATACCGTTCATCGTCCAAGCCGTTTCCAAGAGAGATTGTTTCAAGCGTTCACATTTACAGAATTCCACTTAAGCAACGATGGTTCTTCAAGTCTACCTCGATCCCTGCACCGTTAATTCGCGGAAGGTGCTCGCTGGGCTGGACCTCATAGGATTGCCATATGACTTCCATCACATCGATTACTTCAAAAGCGAGCAGAAAAGCGAGTCGTTCATGAAAATCAACCCGCATGCCACTGTACCCGCGGCGACCGATGGCGACTTGACCCTCACCGAGTCCAACGCGATCCTCATGTATGGTGCCGATGTTGCGAAGAACAGCGCTGCGTATCCTACTGATCTCAAGCTTCGCGCTGACGCAAACCGCTGGCTTCTCTGGGAAGCCTCAGTCTGGTTTCAGACCAACTACGTGTACCTGGTCGAATACGTAGTCAAGCCACTGCTTGGAGCTCAGCCTGACCAAAACATCATCGCCAAGGAAGCACCCAAGTGGCACAAAGCCGCTGCAATCCTAGATGCGCGCCTTAAAGAGACTGGCAAATGGATCCTTCCCGGTGCAGAGCCGTCGATTGTCGACATTTCCGTCGCATCTCCAGTGCACTTGTACGAGGCTCAACAGCTTCCACTAGAGCAGTACAGCGGCATCAAGAATTGGCTGAAGGAGCTCGAGAAGCTCCCAGCCTGGCAGAAGACCCAAGGAGCTGTCGACAAGGCACTCCTCCCAAACAAGTCATCTGAGGTTCGTGCAGAATTTGCCTACACCAAAGACCTGGGTGATAAGCTTACGGAATTATACTTTTATGAAGACTCAAAAAGCGTAGGCATCCACGAGCCTGGCGACGACACCCACACGATGTCTGTGAAAAGTGCGTGGGGCAAGGATTGGGATGTGGATATCAATGGCTTCGCATTGAAAGACTTCCAGCCTTCGTACAACCACTCGTGGGAAGATGAAGAAAAGGTCCGGACGGAATTCTATCCCGAAGTCGTCGAATTTTTGAAAAAGGAGCTTGGAGCTAAGCGGGTACTTGTTTTCGATCATACCATTCGCACCCGCCGCAACCAGAACAAAAAGTTAACCCAGGAAAATAATACTTCTCAACGCGCTCCCGTTCGCCTCGTTCATTGTGATTACACCGCCGAAAGCGCCCCGACTCGCGTCCGTCAACTCCTCCCCGAAGAAGCAGACCACCTCCTCGCCCGTCGCACCGCTTTCATCAACGTCTGGAAACCTCTTGGCCCCGTCAAAGAAAACCCTCTCGCCATGTGTGACGTGGCGTCCGCTCCGCCCGAAGATTTCTTCAAGTTGTATCTCAGATATCGGGATCGTACGGGTGAGAATTATGTCATGAGGCATTCGGATCGGCATCAGTGGTATTATTTCCCCGATATGGAAGATACGCAGAGTATTTTGCTGAAAACTTATGATTCTGATACTACCAAGGCGCAGTATGTGGGCCATACGGCTTTTGATGATCCGACTTCTGCGAAGGATGCGCCGATTAGGGAGAGTTGTGAGATTAGGACGATTTGTTTCTTTTAGGTTGTGAGTCGTATCGGTCGTGTTTGCGCTTGAGCGGTGTGTGTATATGATATCAACGTTACTGAATGCCTTATTTTGTGCTCTCTTGCGATCGGGTTTAGCATTGCATTGCATCTCGCCGCTTTTAATGTGACCTTGCGATGGCTCTACTTGTTGCGCATGCCCCCTGACTTGGTCCGTAAAAGCAGGTGAGGGTGGGCAAGATGTCGCCAACAAAAGCCGTAATCATTATCAGGGGAGTTCAAAGTAGCGGTAAGAGCAGACTCGTCTCGTTCAAATACAATTCGTCTCATCACCATCGGTACCCAAATAGGCAATTTTACCATACTCAACCCTTGTCTCTGAGATGCAGACTTCCTCAAAGCTGAACGAGGCGGTCTTATGCAATGATCATTTCATGCGATATCTAGTCGCCTACATGCTGCATGACCTTCGATCTTCTTCACTTCGATTGAGCAAGCACCCAGGCAATTCCCTGCAACAGGTTTGACACGTATTCCTGACCCTCGGGAATCGCTGGAATGATCCAAAAGTAGTGCGGCATGCCCTTGTAATGATCGTGCTTGACCGGAACACCGGCCTCCTTCAGTGCCTCCTCCATGATGTAGGCGTCGTCGCGAAGAGGGTCGAATTCGCAGGAGGTGAGATAGGTGGGTGGATACTTTGCATGATTGTCGGTAGCGAGGATAGTGAACACGTTAGGATCATTCGGATCGGCCTTCGGTCCAAGGTGCCTGAGAAAGATCAATGTCAGCAAATGCAGTCAGCGGAGGCAGGATGAGAAATTTCTTACTCGAAGAAGATTTCCATGCTCTTCTTATCGATGATTGGAGTGCCTTCCTTGTTTTCCTCGTAAGACTTGTGCTTGGACTTGTACTTCTCGGGAATGCTATCCCAGTGCGTAGTTGCAGGTACCATGGCGACTATGCCCTTGATGCTGTCTTTCAATTCCGGATCTTGGACAACTTGGTTGGCAATTTGGAAAGCGAGAGCGCCGCCTGCGGAACCACCAGCAGTGTAGAACTTGTTGGGATCGCCACCGAATGATGAGGCGTTGGCATGAGCCTAGTAGCTAGTTAATAATCACATTTCTCACGAAGCCCGAGCAGAGAAATCTACCCATTTGTACACCTTCATGCTATCCTCGAGCTGCGTTGGCCATTGGAACTCTGGAGCGAGTCTGTAGTCAATATTGACCACGGCAGAATTGGTGTGCTCAGAAACCAAGCCGCAAATGAGGTGATCGGAGTCGAGATCTCCGGTCATGTAGCCACCCTCGTGTGTCCATATTGCTGTTGGGAAAGGCCCACTCTTGGCCTTGGGAGTGTAGATCCTGTACTTGATTCCATCGACATCGCCTTCCTTAACGTCAACAGCCTCTGTGAAAGGAGGCATCATTGGCGTGAGAGCTTGCATAAGACCATCGACCATGCCTCTGATCTCTGCTGGTGAGCCATGGAGGATAGCACGACCTCCAGAGGCTGCCTCCCAATCTTTCCAGCTTTGAGCGTAGTCACCACCCATTTTGAATGACGGTCATGAATTAGTTGTGGATTAATTGTTGGCAAGTTGCTATGGACTACTGTCTGTCCGGAGATCTCCGATTTAGAATCAGGTCAAATAAATGTGAGCGCGCGTGGGTGTTGGGCTTTTATCACAGCCAGAATTTATTCAGCCCGTGCTCAACATGAGAGCTGGCGTCGGTCTCGACCGAGGAAGCTGTAGAGCTTCAACCCTTCTTCGGTATAGCCCCGCAAGCTGGTGATGCTGACTCGTTCTCCGCGTTGTTCTTGGCGCCCAGCTGTCATAAGCGGGCCATCTGAATTGCCAGCGGATTACCTACTTTCTCTTGTATTCGGTTTGATGGTCTGACAGGAGCTGACATCTTCTTCGGTATAGCCGTGAAACTTGGTGGGGCTGACTCGCTCTCGGCATTGTTCTTGGTGCCCGGTTGTCATAAACGGGCCATCTGGATGGCCAGTGGAACGCTTCCTCTTGTTTTCGCTTTGATGGCCTGACAGGAGGAGCTAATGCCTGCAGTAGCGGGATGCATTGGCTTAAACTTCGTTGGCCTACACAAGTCCAATTCCAAAAAGTATGGCTTTCGGATAGTAGAGACGTTTCGTTAATCCTTGCCCGAGCTATCGACTATTTCGACAAGATAGCACTCGAGCAGCTGTAGACACATGAGAGTCTGGTTTTCATCAAATGTGAAAATGATGTGCTGGGCGGCAGGCAGACGCTGTGCCGAGAAGCGTGGAGCATTCATACTGATCCTGGTGTGTACGGCTGGCCGGGCTCATATACCTCATATGGACTTCAGCTCTAATTTTACTCGTGGTGTTCTACTCGTCCTACGAGCTGAGGGAACTAGACGTCGCAGAGATGGGAGTGGTTGTCAGAGATCATTCGAATTTTTCCCATTTGAGGACTGCCCGTGTTTTCGTTCCATCCTGAGACCAGTCAGTGATTTCAAAGGTTCCACTGAAAGCCGCGGCGGAAGCATGGCTCACCTCGAGCAGCATGTCCTGCTTGGGCTCCAGGAACAAGAACGTTTTTCCATCCTCGTCCACGAGCGTTACCTTGCGTTCTTCGATCCCACCCATTCTGCTCGGATCAGTGCTGACCTCCACCCTTGTCTGCCAGTATAGCTGGCCTTCGTCATTCCTGTACAGCTTCATGTAGCCGCAATACATTGAGAGACCTCGAGCAACATGTGCCACCTCCTGATCTGGTGCAGTCATCCATGGCTTGCCGGATGGAAGCGGGCCCATGCGGTCAGGCCTCGCCAGATGTGCAGCTACCCATCCTTGCGGGGATATGGACAGACGGCCCAGAGGAGTCTCTCCGTGCGGTTTCGCAACCAATCTTCGGTGTGATGCGTCGACCACGAACATCTCGTAGGAAATGTTCTCCCAGCAGCCGATCAGGAGGTCTCGATATTGGTCCCAGACTTCAGTCATGTTGCGCTCTATTGTGTATGGTTCGAAGGCTTAGAAGAAGAGATGAGGCGGGTGTCGCGATAGTCCAAATAGCGGTTCCTTGGCACGGTCGTCCGGGTGCCTTCATCCATGACGCCAAGATGTTGGCTGGCAGGTGCGATGCCCAACTGGAAACATCGACCGTCACGCTATCTGGGGAAATATCGATGCCTCCCACAACATCACATACGGTGGCAGCCCTTCGGCCTCCTCCATCCAAACCTAAGAAACAGTAGCTGCCATGACTGCAGCTGTACTGTTCTTTTCCGGAAGGTTGAGAATGCCAAGAACTGGAGGAACCCCACTAACATTTTACTAGTAATTCAGCCAATTCGTCCTCTTCTTGCGCTATATAGCACTAAACACTAAAAAATACATATTGTTAGTATAGCCGTTGAATATACAGTCCGAGGTATTGTTATTAGTGTTATTCTAGCTCTTTTACGCCGTCCGCGCCTTTTCTATATCCCTACCTACCTATACTACTCGCTTCGCTAAAGAATATTTCGATAGCAGTTATAAGATAGTTAATATCGTCTTAAAGACAGGCGCGAGCTAGTCGACCGTATATCGTTAGAAGTTCTACTATAACTAGTTTAGTAAGGTATTCTTACTATTCGAGCGGTTTAAATCGAGTCGTAAGAGGAAAATAACGAAGGAGATAGAAATCTACCTACTTAAGTACTTATCTAAGCGGCTAGAGGCTTATCTCGAGGAGATATGTCTCGTACTATTCGATCGCTTCGAGATTAAGCTAGATCCGTCTACGGTATAGCGTTATTTATATAGAGTTAGATAGATACGGAAGACCGCTTAGAAGGTCGCAAAGGAGCGCAATACGCTAGCAAGAGCCGCCTAGTATACTAGGAGTTAGAGATAGCCTGTCGATAAGTTAGTATTTATCGATAAGACGGCTTCTAATAAGAAGTCTAGATACCGCAAGTTTAGATAGTCTCCGAAGGGCATTAATTGCTACGACTATTAGTATACGTAGCGGCAAGAACGAATGTTAGTACTTCTAGCACTAACAATCTATAGATACTTGCCCTATACCCTCTATATCTAAGGCGCTATTAATTAAGTTACGTTTAACGACTAGATCGAGAACAAAGTACTACTACTACTTAGTAAGAATATAATTATTATAATAGATAACGCTTTAATCTACTATAGCGAGAAGGTTAAGTCGATAATCCGGTTAGCTAGACATACTCTTAAGTACTTACCGCTATACTCTCCTAACTTAAATCCTATCGAATAGACCTTCGTACTACTTAAGAAATAGCTTAAGAAGAACAAAGATCTTATAGCTAACTTCGAGAGCTTCTAAGACTTCCTTATATAGGCTCTAGACTATATTAGAAAGATAGATATAATAGGGTTGTTTAAGTATAGCGAATATAACGTATACGGCTTTACGGAGGTTAAGCTAGAGGAAAGCTAGCTTACTAGCGATTTCGACTCGCTTTAAATCTAACTACTATAATATCGATAATATGTCTTAGTATTTTTAAAATACTAAGATAATATATATCTAAAGCTCCGCTATTAATTTTATATATATAACTAGTATAGTATTAGTGCAACAAAATTAATAAGGTGTTAGTACGTACTGCTAAGCTTTATATATCTCCTCCGCTTTTACCTCCGAGAATGCCGCCGGAAAGCATTCTCGAAGCAACGACGATAATAGAGGCATATATAACGGAGCGAATAGTAAGCCCTTAAATTCGCAATCTATATACAAACGCCTAACTAATTTGAACTTACGAGATCGGCCGTTACTCTATTATAAATGTCGTTATTACCTTACTCTCTCTTAGCTAGTTTCTCCTTCTAAAAGCGCTTTAGACAGTTACGCAACGTGCCTAAGTTACCCTTATAGAAGCTAAGCTCCTTCTACTCGCGTATAGGAAGTTAATATAACTAATTATAGTTATATCGTTTAGTTATAAAGTGCGCTTCTATCTTTAAGAGCTATTCCTTGTCTTCTACCTCCTTCTATTTATACTATATCGCTACCTATATAAAGAACTGTCTAAGTAGACTTCTCGGCGGTATATTAAGTTGCTAAGTAACCTACTTCGGAACAGGAGAGTCTTATTGTATAGGCTAAGCTTCTTAAGCGGCAGTAGCAACGCCTAGCTTCTAATTAACTAAATTAAACATAGTCTATATTAGATTAGCATAATCTATAGGCGGCGGCGGCGGTAGATAAACTGCTAGCGTAGAGCGTACCCTTACTAGTATCTATACTTGAAATAGCTCCTTTGTAGTAGTAAGAAGACTATAAGGTTTACAAGATTGTATCTTCTCTTTATATAGCTATATCTTAGCGAATATACTATATAGCGGCTTCTTAAGAGTTATACCCTCTTGCTTTATAGCAAGTGCGTAAGACTATAGCTTTATAGCCTCGCTATAGAACTAGTAATAATAGCGTTTAATATCTAGTAGTCCTTTAGGCCTATAGTAGTAACTATTATAATTCTCGCAGCTAGAGAGCGTATATATATAATTAGTAAGAAGCTTAGTCGTATAATTGCCTTGCTTCTATTCTTTAGCGATAAAGGCGAGACTATCGATAGTCTGCTAGTCGTATTACGAAGGCAGGTATAGGTATAGGCTAGGTAGGAGGCCCTAGCCTCCTATAGTATATACTTCTCTAAGCCTAGATAGACTTAGAATAATTATCTACTTTATAATATACGATATATAACAAAATAGTAGCTTCGCTTCGAGCACTAGCGTAAAATACGCACTAACCGTCTCTAAACGGACTATCCGAACTACGGTTTACTATTCCCCTCTCTAAGGCGAAAGTCCTCCGCGCCGAAGGAGAGTCCTAACGAACTACTCTAATACTACTTTCTATACTATTAAACGCCGCAGCTATACTATAAGAAAGAGGCTATAATTTAGTACGAAAATATATAAGACCTACTAGCGAATCGGTACGGAAATTAACGATAGACCTAGCCTAGCGCCGCGGCGCGCTTTACGCTCCCTCTATTAATACCCTTACTTACTAAGGGTAGGAACGACATTTCGGGTTAGTAGGAGCTAGGCACCTAACCCTCCTAACTTCCCTTTTTAGGTATAAGGATATAGAAGGTTCCGACTACTCTTACGGCAGCTACTACGTCTATACCTACGGTTAATATTAAGACGGTGCCCTATTCTGTTTCTTAGCGAATAATATCTACGTCTTAATATAGGAGCTTATAGTATTAAAGGACTAGGAATCTCCGAACGATCCGCCGCCTATAGCCTAGGAGGATTGTACTCTTCCCGAACTAAAGGAAGATAGATACTACCTAGTTTATATAGCGTATATACTATTAGCCTTCTTAAAACTAAGGTCGTGTCTAAATAAGCTATTCGAGAAGGATCTTAGATATAGAGTTATCGCTATTACCGAGTAGTACGAGGATCCGGAGGAGGCTAAACCTCTACGTCGCCTAAGGTTATAATCCCGTATTCTAGATACAAATAGAGACGCGACTCCGAAGCCTTAGATACGCGCTAAGATTATTAGTTCGTAGGTTAACGACAACTCCCTATCGCTTTCCGCTATACGATAAGTATATCGTCTAACTTCGTACTAGTCGGATAGCCTATACTTCGCTTAGTAGCTAGTAGAATACCTTAAGTCTACCGACGGGAATCCGGCTATAGGCGAGAATTAGCTACGTCGCCGCAAGGTTTATATCCCTCTACGACTAGAGAAGTAGGGCGTCCGCCGCTTAATCGAAGAAGAGAGCTTAGGGTAAGCTAAGCCTAATAGACGTAGGGAGTCCTTTAAAATTAACCCGCTAACGGGTAACGTTTTTAAGAACTTCGGTACCTTTCGTAAAGACGACCCGCCTCCTAAGCCTCGCGAGAGCTTATTAATCTCGGTATCTAGCAGTTCGGTACTTAGCTTACTACCGGATTCCTAGCTAGAAGGAGAAGATATATTAGGTAAGTAGGCTCTAGGATCTATAGTACCGGCGAACGGTATAGCCGGCGCTAAACAGCGAGATAAAATTAGATAAATAAAGTCCTAGGTAGCTTAGTAGCTAGCCGAGCAACGTACTAAGGCAGATAATAATCGAGCTACGGATCGTATATGCCTATAGAGGGCACTAGACGAATAGCGCGAGGCTTACGAGATCGAGATATAGGCCTAAATCTAATAAGCGTTTAACGAAGGCCGTAAGGAGGCTATAAGAGCTAAGAACAAAAGCAGAGATAAGGGTATAGAAGCTAGTAGAGTACTACCTCCGATAGCCTTAGAATAGCGCTATACTATCGATATAAATAGCATCCCTAAATTGTTCCTTATCGACGAATAGCGACGTTAAAGGAGGAATACTAAGTCTACTAGGTACTTTAACGACGAGGTTACCGCTAATAACAACGCTACTACTAATACTAATGCTAGAAATAATAGGAATAATAATACCTCGGTTAGAGAGTTAGAGCCTAAGGCATCGACAAAGCGGACTTAGTATACTACGAGAGCCCCCTTCCGTACTTAGAACTTCTACCTCTCTACGTACCTATCGAATATACAGTTGCTATTACACTTCCACTAGCGAGCAGTAAGGGGCTCAAAAGTGCAATAGTTACCGGCATAGAATAGCAGGTACAGCGGCAGCGATATATTTAGGCAGTTTTAAGGCATAGCGATAGGCGTTTAGTGCATACAGTTTAAGCGAGAAAACGAGATAATACAGCATTAGAATACGGCATTAGAATACAGCATTTACAGCATTAGTAACAGCATTAATAGTAACAGTATATTGAACATTATTTAGCATTAGCATCTTATAGTAATAGTATCGACCGGGCGTACGTATCGCCTTGCAGTATTATTTATAGAAGACACGAATACAGCTTTAATAGTACACGTATATATTAGAATTTCCCCTACCGAAAGCACGAGACATATAGGAAGCCCTATATTAGCGTAGACAGCGGCTTTACGCAAGCGGAAA